GAAGAAGGGTGGTGGCAGTTTGTATCTATGTAGTCTCTGAACGTCGTTGTCTTGTTCTGTTCCTGCTCCCGTAGTTGTGGCTCCTGCTGTGTCTGCTGTTGGCCCGTTCTCTGCTCCTGTAGTTTGTTGTGCTGAGGCTGATGCTGCTTCTCCTGACATGTCGTAGTAGTTTGGCATGTGACTGCTGTTGCTGTGGTTGTAGTACTTACTGCTTACTGGAGCTCCTGTATGTTTAGGATCTCAGCTCCGCTACCACGTTAAATTTAGTTGGTACTTTGCTTACAAGTGCAAGCGCTGTAGTGTTCAAACAAACAGTCAACCAATGTAGTCTGCAGCTGCCAACCTTTTGACTCATGCAGAGTAGTAAGCCCAAGGCCTGCGGTAGTGAACATACATGCAACACAAATGCAAAGTGAAGCATGTAGTTTGACATCTGTCTTGCTTCCGGCTCTTCCTGCTTCCCGCTTCCTTTTTTCAGCTTCTCCTTGCTTCTTTTGTCAAGGAGCGCTTGGAGGCGGAGGCGGCGGAGTTGGACCGCCTGCGGCATCGGGAGCTGCTACGGCGGCACCAGCTGGCCCTCGAGGCGCGAGCTAAGGACAGAGAGCCGAAGGAATCCTCAACGAACACAGATGGAAAGACAGAAGCCAAAACAGCCAAGTTGAAAAAAGCGCTAAACAAAACCGACGAAACAAATGGGCCGCGCTTTGTTTCCCAAGTAACTGGCCCTGCTGCAACCCGTGGCAAGTTGCCACATACGGCGCTTCTTGTGAGAATTGGAGTATTCAAGCCACGTGCTCGCTTCCATGCGGTTTCATGTCTTGAAGCAGATCCAGGCCCAGAGTGACTGCTGCCACAGTGGGTATCTTTAGTTGCGTTGCGGGACTTCGCTGTTGGTAGCGGAGCAAGGATATTTCTCCACAAGCAGAAGAAGGCTTCATGGAAGCCTACGGAAGTGCACCTAAAAACAATCAACGGATCGATGGCCGCCAAGATGCCGCCATGATGACTGGATCTCACAGAAAGCTGGGGACCTCTCCTGAAAACCAGATATCACCTACCGGGCCCCTGCAGACAATGTTCGCCCTTATTTTTGTTGATTTTTTTCGAAAAACAGATGGTCCCGAAACTTCCATGTCAAGGCAGAGGGCCATCCTACCGCAAACAACTTTCTCAACAACGTCGTCCGTAAGCTTGATGGCAATATTGGTGCACAAAAGGTTGTAGCTTCCTGTTGCTCGAGGTTCAATCAGGGTTACCCATATTTAAGGGGCCCTTGCCAATCCCAGCCGCGTCGCCTGTCCTTGAATGTCATGCGTTGGCAAAATTTGCCAGGCACCAGCAATGGAGAAGTTGCAAAGAGTCAGCCCCAAACAAGTGCTCGAATAATTTCTGTATGGGGGGGGTATGTTGCAAAGGCCCCCTCTAAAGGACGCAGGCGTTGGTCAGCCTTCTGCGCGCTCTGTTTGTGTGCAGGAACAGCCGCAAATGACATGTTTGGGTGTGGACCACCATGCAACAAGCGGAAATGGAGACACGCATATTTTGCTGTGGGTTTCGAAAAGGTCGAAATATCGATCCCTGCAATGGACAAATCGTAACAAGACCCGATCTTCTTGAACAGTGCCCGATGGAAGCCTTGCGTTGTCTCTGGATTGCCGTAGGCGCCTTTTGCTGACACGTCTTCGCCTGCTGACTTGCGGGGCTATGGTTAGCCGAAATAGGACATGATCTGCACTGGCTTTGCCTTCTTTGGGTCTTCCTTCGCAGCAGCTGCGGCCGGCTTAGATGCTGCGGCGCCAGCTGATTGAAGGGCCTGCTTCACCCATTGGCCCAAAATCTCTGCCTGAGATTCAGACAGCAAGAACTTGAAAGTGTGGAAAACTTCCAGATCTGACAGCATCGCACCTTTCGTGTTGTCTTGCATTTTGGCAGACATGCGTTCAAACTTGGAGGCAAGGGCGGGAGCTCCGAAAATGGTCGAGTCCCCATCTTCATCTGAAACAAAAAAAGGCCAGGCGACGCATCAAGTTTGCATAGAAATCGCTGCTCTTTGAAAGGCTGGCCTCCGGCCCAGAGCCCCGCAGCATGGAGCCAAGAATCTCTTCTACGCTATTGCACAAAGCCCGCAAAACGGGGGGACACATTTGCATCAAATCTGTCTTGGAAACTTCCTGAGCGTCAGCGAGTGCTTGAGTCAAACTGGCACGCTTCTGCTCTGAAGGCAAAACTTCCAAGAGCTTCTCTTGCACAACTTTCTTGAGGAGATCATCTGCGGGGCCTGCAAGAAATGCCAGCTCAACCCGGAAGCTGGGGTCGCTCGAGCAAAGCTGGCCACTGCTCTTCTCCAAGCTGGCCTTCATGTCTGCAAAGGAAGTGATAGATTCCCCAGCCAGAATTTCAGCCGCCAGCAAGCGACAGGAGTTCAAATCCTTCAGGACTGCATCCTCGATCTGGATTTTGGGGTCAGTTGCCTTTGGCAGTAGCCAGTTTTCATAAGCCAGCCGTGGCAATTGGCCCTGCCGCAAGGCTAGATCCTTGATGGAGGCATACATCCGCAGATGCACTTCCAAGGCGAAATCCGTAAGGGTCACGGTGTCTCCGACAAAAAGCGCACGGTGTTGCAATGCGCTTGAGGTCCCCTGTGAAGGCGTCGCACACTGTCTTGACATCTGCGACCTTGGCAGCGGTGACTGTGGTCTTCAGCATCTTGGCGATCTCCGCCTCAACCTTATCCTGGAAGATGGCCGAGCAAACCAGCTGTTCTGCGAAGCCGAACAGCGCCTGTCCGAGGCTCGAGGATGCCACCAGCCGGGCAACATGCATCGCCACAGCCTTTCAGTCACCCTTGGCCATCATCACCGAGCGCAAATCCTGTTCAGACATGAGCAAGGTTGCCAATTCCAAATTTGAATCCAGCCACGTTTGTGGCTTCACTCCTGACTTCCGCAAAGACTGGAACTGCCTGCAAAGCGAAGAATCTACGAAGCTCAGGCAAATGCTCAGCTCCTCTGCAAACTTGTCCTTCTGGCCGTTGCGGATGATTGACTTGAGGCACTCCATCACAACCGTGTCAGAACTTTCTTTGCTGAGTCCAGACGTGTCGCTCATGGCCTTCATCAAGCCCACCATCTCCTTCTGGTTCAGGCCAGATGTGTTCTGGAGAAACATGGTCAACGGCTCGATGGTTCGGGCTGCGTTGTTCCTGCAAGGAATGGCTCAGGTGGCTCAATTACAATCCACGTATTTCCAATAATGGGACAAATTTCCAAAGCGACGCCCTAGGAAAACAAAGTTGTGTCGATCACTGGGCACAACAAGTCGGCATCGACAACCTGCCGTAAACGATCTAAGAACCCTGTGAAGTCTAATGAAAGGCCAGGCGCGTGGTCATGGCTGCAGACAAAGCTTGCAGCAAGCCGTCGCTGACGCCTTCATTGGCATCTTTCACCTGCTCCTCCATCCTGATCTGCGTACATGACCTGCATCTCTCGCCAGTATGACGCGCCCAAGCGAGCTTTCTTGCCTCTATGCTCGCGAGTGTCCCGCTCCACTCTTTCCCGCAAAGTCAGCCCCTCCACGCGCTTGGACTCAAGATGCGTGGGCGTCATGTCCGGGAAATGAGCATGGATCTTGGGGTCCACTTCGTCCATGGTGCTGCGCTTCTTCAGAGTTCTGCGAGAGGGGGCAGCCTCTTCATGAAGGGCCTCTTGTGCCTCCAGCAGAGAGCCTTCTTTCTCTGGAGTGAGGCCCTCTGCCTTTGCCTGCGCCTTTGGCTTCTTAGCGTTGGCTTTGCCAGAGCCGGCACTTTTCTTCTTCGGCGCCATGACACCCGACAACTGCCTACATGCCTGGCCGAGAAAATCTCGGATCAAGCCGCCCAGCGGAGCAAACAATACAAAGAGGATATCCGGCGAAGGGTTTGTCTTGCCAGTTCCTACTTTGCAACACGGTCAACCAACTGTGTGTCCGAGTCCGCTAAACAAACGTTGACCGCCCAGTAGTTTCAGGCTGCCAATCTCCATCAGGAACGCGCAGCCTACACTGCGCCTCCGCCAAACTTACATTTCTGGGAAACAACCAAGGATTTATCCAAAGCGTCAGAAGCTGCCCGCAACATTGTGTGTAACTGCAAAGCACTCGCCTGGATACATTGGCCACGCAGATACGAACAAAACACAGCCGTGACTTTCCCAAACAAATATAGACCCTGCAAAGCAAAAGTGCAAGATTTGGAACGAACACTCCTCTAACCAATTAAATGACAGGCTACGTGGCCTTCGAGATGGCATCCTTTGCAAGAAACTTGCGGCGCTTTTTCCCAGGGGCCCGCTACAGAACAAGCACCTTAGCGTTTCCAAGAAAGGTGAACTCAGCATGTGCAGCACAATCAGCCGCTACCCGTCGCACTGTCAATCCAGCACGGCTCTGAAACAAACAGCACTTTCCGCAATACTTGCCAAATCTGATGCGCCACATGCCGAAATTCTACTTAATCATGAGCAAGCAGCCACTTGCCAACGCGCCAGCCGGAATGTGGGATTTGAGGGCCCGTGCGTTACGTTGGCTACTCTGCACCCCATCCGTAATGTCCGCCCGTAATGTCCGCCCGTAGCTTCGCCCGTAAAGCGCGCCCGTAAAGTGCGCCCGTACGCCCGCCCAAAAAGTTGCCCGTACCACCAGCCCATGGAGTTGCCCGTGATGGCATTGCAGTGTTCTCCCACAGCAGACCTGCGAAAGGGGTCGCCCTTACAGTTTCCCAACTGGTGCCCTAAGAAGTTATTTTGGAACTCTGTCACCCTAGCACTACACAAACCTTTGGCTAGACCCTCTGCCAGACTAACGCCCCAAAATAGAAAGTCCGCAGTTTAGTCTTGAAGTTAATTGGACAATTAAGGGCTCCAGTCTAAGGGGGGGTGGAAGGGGGACTCCCAAAAGGTTCTGCAAAGCAAATGCAAACTAGTTCCTTTTTTGGTCTTTGCGCAAGCCACTCCACAATTCATCTAGTCCGAAGGATTAGTTGGGAAAAGGCTTTGGATCAAGTCTGCTCTCTTGCGGGCAGCTGACGTAACAGGCAAGTGGCTCAGAAACGATCGCCACTCGTCTGTTTGCTCATGAGACACCAGCTCATCTAGCGCGTAAACGTACTTGGGCTGCTCTTGCTGCCGCCATGTGTTGTAAAAGTACTGCAAGCGTCTACACCACTCAAGAGCCATTGTGTGGCAGCCTGCTTCGCCATACCGAGAAAAACTAAAAGAAGCCATGGTGTTGAACGCATATGTCTGACACCAAACCCGAGGAGGGCCTGGCAACGCTTGCGCCACAACTCGGTCGCTTTCATTGATTCCGCGATGGATGGCGTTCCAATCGCCGGAGCGGAAACATGTCACAAAATGCTCACACTGCCCATGAAGCGGCTGCTCACGCCATTCTGCGCGGGCCGACTCTATGGCAGCCCAGGCTGCCTCAACTGCTGCCACCTCATCTGCATCGGGCAGCGGCTCCTCGATTTGCCCTTCTGTAACCGCAAGCTGCGTTTGCTGCGTCAGATATGCCGCTGCCCACGCGTTCTCTGCCAGTGCTGCAGCCACGTCTTCTTGCTTCGGACGGGGAGCACCAGGTCGGGCTTCCCGCGACTTCCGGCGCAAGGTCTCCGGCAGGAATTGATCCAAAGGCACGGGGCTTCCAAAGGCAGTTGCCTCCGTGGCCGAATTCAGAAGCACATGCTGAAAAATGAGGAGCTCAGAAGTGTTAGTAGACTTGAATGCTTCGTGCGTGACGGACACTCCAAGCTTCATGCTGAAGGCAATGTCAAACGCCTCGTTCCAAGCAGCCCAAGCTTCCTCATGCGACATATCACGCAGGCTGGGCAGCTGTCTGTGGCAAATCCGCATGGGCAAAAAAAAGGCGCAGAGTGGCTTCTGAGTTGCGTAGAGAAAATAGAACGCCAGATGCCCCTCCTCAGTGGACTTTAAAAGGGCTGTGGATCTGAAATGTTCTCTGTTCCAGCAAAGCATCGCAAGCCACTCTGGTCGGAAGGCCGTCTGCTCCGGAACAGGCACGACACTCACTGCAGAAAGAGCACGGCAAACCTCAGCTCTTGGGGCAAGCGGGGCACTCATGGCGCGCGCTCGTAGCCGGCCCACCTCGGTATGTGAAAAGCGATCACTATTTGCCAAGTTATCCAGGGCTTCCCAGTCCTGCTTTGCGAACCGTAAGTTCTCAGCAGCATGTGTGAGGCCAATTTGCTCCTGTTCTTCCAACGCTCGAGCGTGTGCGAGACGCAGGGCGTCAGTCTGATGGCGCACCTCGTCCTCGAGCGTGTGCAGGTTCCTGTCCCGCTCAGCCTCGGCACGCTGATGCCACCAGAGCTGCTCCTGTGGGGACAATGTGGCATAGGCGGCCACGTGCTGCTTCATGACTTCACGCCGCAGATTCTGTGGCATCAGTGTTCCCTGAGGGAGGCCTTGTCTGACTTCCTGCATGAACCACCGCAGAAACAAGTGTCTGCCAGAGATCTTGGCGGGGGTCTTGCTCCGCAGCTTCTGTAGAAGCAACTCCCTCCGCTTGATTTCGTTCGTTGCTCCAACGTCAGCGAACAAGTGCCTGCACTGATGCAGAAAGCTGCGCGCAGCCAGCATGCCTGGAGAGTTCTCGTGGCGCCGGTGCATAACAGCTGCTGAGCCATGGGCTTGCTCCACCCCAAGTGTTGACCAATGCACATCTCTGAAAAGCAGGATTGCGTCTTTGAGAAGTTGCGAGTTCCATCCTAACCGCACTAATTCGGCAATCTTCTTGGTGGTCAGATCATGATAGTTCTCTTCTTCGGGGAGGCCAGCCAAGTTGTCGTCAATGTCCCCAATGGCCAAGCACCAAGGCAAATTCTCCAGAACGCGGAGCACCTGGAAGCCCAAAGAATCATGCTTGCGGGCCGGAAAACAAGTTCTTACTTTCGACCTAAAGCAATCAAAGTCTGCATCAAAACACCTCACCCCGGCACCTTGTCGTAGATGTAAGCGCACGCTACCTCCGCGGCGTGAAGCACCTTGCTTTTCAGCGCTGTGGGCGTCACTGTGTCCCCCGTCAGCGAGGCCAGACGTGTCCAAGTGAAAGAAGTCAATGACGCAATGTAACTTAGCTCGTCCTGTAGCGACTCTCGAAGCTCCGCCTGCCTTCCGGCCAATCTGTCGTCTTCCATAATGAGACGCAGTGCTCCGTCAGGAACCCAGGCCACAATGGATGCAAGGACCATGTATTGCAGCTGCTGGGGCCTGAGCCGCGAAAATCCATGTAAATGAAAATCAGTTGCTCGAGGGTCATCTCTTGTCAAAGAGACTATCTGCGCTAACCCCACAGCCAACGAAGCAGCAATCGAGCGCATTGCGGGCCCCACAGTGCACCAACGTGTATCAACAAAGCGCCTCCACCGGAAGAGGTACAGCACGACGGAGGACACTCTCTCGAGGAGTCGCTCGTCCTCTTTCAATGCAGCGCTCACATGGAGAGTTCCGTTAGAAAACCAAGGATTGACAGTGGACACTTCTTCTAGAAAGTCAGCTTCAACCCCCAGCGCCATCCAAAATTCCAGGACAGATGCGGCGTCTTCCTGCGGCATGTCCGCGACCAAGTGCCCTTGCAAAAATCGCGGCAGCCGCATGTGCAAGAGCGCAAATGAGTTGCGAAGCGACTCCATGACAATGTGTAAGTCCTTGATGACATCAGCATTTCCATGCGGGGCAAGGCTCCATTTCAGCGCGTTTCCAACATCATGCGCCGCGCATCCAGTATGAAGATGCCAGCTCTGCAGCCAAGCTAAGCGGTCACCACAGGCCATTCCAAGGCCATTTGTGAAATAAGCCTCTGACCGCTGATGTAACAAGCGCTGAAGCGAATCCATGACTGCACGATCTGCAGCCACATGGAAAACGCATATCCCCCGATGCCCAGAACGCTGAAGCAAGGGATAAAAGTCTGTTGCCGCTGCGAACAAGTTCCACATTGTCTTTCCCTCACGTAGCGGCACAGCTTCAGCGAAAAGCACAGTGATGCTCTCCGCGCCAGATGCCGAGAGTGCCTTAAAGTAGCCCCGCTGCATGAGAAATTCCTCCAACACTTTCCCGCGCCGAGTAACAAGATGTGGCCCCACGTTTGCATTCGCAGCTGCTCGGCAAAGCAATGATGTAGCATCAGCAGAATATGAGAACAAAATGGGAAGGCCTTGATGGCCCCTCACAAAGGCATCGCATTTATTCCTGATATGTGTCTTCAAAATCTCTGCTAGCCGAAACACCTGGGCCTCCTCCCCAGATGAAATACTCGTGGCAACCCGGGCGTACTTCAAGTACGCTTGTCGCAAATCTTCATGCGTCACAACGCTGCCATGGCCAGCCATGATGGTGGCTTCCGAAGGATACCCATAGCGCCATCTTCACAAACGCAAAGTTTTGCAACATGCATGAGGAACATTCTGAAAGCTGCTGTCCAAACGGGTGGGCAAATGCCTGAGCAAGTGATTGAAGCGCTAACCCGGCAATTTGCACTTGCCACGTGTCAGAGCTCAACCAAAGGAGCCTGGTCATTGCCGCCTTTCACAGTATGAAGCTGAACCAAGAGCAAACCGGGTGTGCCATCAAGTGCGTTCAAAGCTCAAGCAAGCACTTCCCAAGCTCAAAGAAACCAAATGATCATACTGGGGGAGTCCCACAATGTGCGGTACGCTCGCAAAACCGTTGTGTTTTACAAACAGGGCAGACACTTCCTCCCAAGATGGCGCACATGCTAGCTTCATCTGGCGATTCCTCAAACTTCCAAATCTCAAAAACAAAATCCCCAAAAACCAAGGCCGGGAAACATGTTTTAAAAAATAAGGGCTCTGCAGCATTCTTGCACATGACAGATAGCTCAGAGATCCAAATGAGGGAGTCAACTACCTCAACGCGCTGAAGAAGTACTTTTCTGAAAGGCTCCTAGGTTTCTTCAACCATAGGAGACGCAGCGCCGAGTTGTCAGAAGAGCACGACTGTCCTGAATCAGGGTGATCCGGAAACATTGAGACAAGATACGGCCGAAATTGCCTGATCGACACGGTGACGTGTTCCTGGCCAAGGACAATCCCATTGCGCGTTTTTTCGACCACCCAAGGTGAGTTGACAGACCGACAAAATTCAACACTCCGACCAACCGGACGTGGATGTCAGAACATTGTGTAATTGCATTCTTGAGCGATGGGAATGGGGGGCCCTTTTTGCCAGCTGTGGTCTGAAAACCCTGGTGCTTGGGGGCCCCCTTTCTGCAGCTGAGAAAAGGCGCGGAAAGACAAACGCTGAATATGAAGACGGAAACGGCCGTTTCATGGGAGCAGAAGATGATGAGACTTTCTGGGCCCTCGAAGGTCATGACGCGTTCGCAGCCAGGAAGGTGTCAGGGCAAAGTCTGAGATCAGCATGACGAAAAGGAGGCTCCAAAGGTAAAAAGGGCAGTGGAAGATCTGGCCAACGAAAACAAGCACAATCCCTACAACCAAGTAAGGGAAAGAAAGCTGGACAGGAAGGAAACTTCAAATATCAGAGCTCTTCGATGATGGAAACCAAATTTATTCATCAATGGGAAAGGTGGCAAGCACCACTGACCTAGAGAGACAAAGAGGGGGAGGGCTCGAGAGGCCAACAGGCAGCAAGAACGCCCGTGCGAGAGAGGGAGAGAGAGAGAGAGAGAGAGAGAGAGAGAGAGAGAGTGAGTGAGAGTGAGAGAGAGACAGAGAGAGACAGAGAGAGAGAGAGAGAGAGCCCATTGCCGGGCGTGTTCTGACCTTTGACGCTGCAGAGAAGGCGGCAGACAGTTAAGAAGGACTGAAGGGCGGAAAAGGAAAGAACAAGGGTGCTTAGGAAGGGAAAGGAAAGCCTTGCCTCGCAGATGTGATACACTTGGGTAGAGGCGGGCGCGGCATTTCCGGTCTGCTTGCTGACATACGCGGATGAATTCTTGATGAACCGAGCATGGGGGGTCCTCTTGACCTCGTGGACAGGGCACACCGTTGATCCAGAAGCGTGGATGCGCCTCTCCACCTGCGGGTGGTGACAAATGCTGATTAAGCCTTATTAGCGTGGCAGCCAGTGCAGTATTCACGAACGATGGGAGACTGTGACATCTTACGGAGAGTTGCTGGATCATATGCGGACTTTCGATTTTACATCATCGTGTGCTGCTTGAGTTCGTTTCTTGCCTGTGCAGCATTTCTTTCTCTTCGACATGCGCTTTAATTAATCAATGGAGTAGCAGAGCCGGGCATTGTGTTAAATGTGGCTAATGTGTTCAAACCACTTTGTTTTGCAATCTGCGATTTCTACTCTTCGCGCATGAGTCGACACGACCCACGCCTGTGCGTGGTTTGCTGGTGACGTTGTGAAATCATGATTTACACATGGTCGTGTTTGGCTCAAGCTATCAACACTCCCAAGGGATGAGGGTCCCAAATCACTGGAAGAGCTTGCTCGCGTGTGCAATTGAGATGCTGTCGACAGCAGCGCAACTGATCCTGCACATTCGCGAGAAGATTTCTCGCATCTTTACCACGGTGCTGCGACATGACCCTGGTGAAAGTTCTCGTCAGAAACCGTGACGGATCCATTGCAGTGCGTCGTATTTTCCCGCAGGTACAAAGTTGAGATCCTAGGTTTGCCTTTGAGGACGCATGCTAATCGCTGCCTTATTCGATACATCCAACGTCAGGGCAGTCCTGGCATTTGTGTGCCAAAGCGAGAAGCCGGAGGTTTCTCGTATCCAAAAAAGAAAGCTCTCCCAGATAGATCACACATGGACAGTTCAAACCCAGCGCCCGGACTGTTTTGGAGATCTACGTTTGTGCCACACATGGACAAACCACTCCCTTGGCCGGAAGAACCCTCTTAAGGATGAGCTTGAGCGAATACAGATGTTCAAGGAGGTTTTGAAGGGATCCGAAGAGCAAATGCATGCTTCATGCTTAGAAGGTTGGCCCCGGCCTATCAACCATATTGTCAAGAGTGAAATTCGACGATGAAGGGCATGCTGGCCCTGAGATTGATGCTAAGGGATTGAAGCAGATCCTCGGTTCGAGAAAATTTCTTTCTGGAGCCAGTCGTCAAGAAGGAGGACGACAACACAATCACTTTGCGGGCGTCGCGCCGCATTCCTACATCTGATTGGCTTTGCCAAGGGTTTTCCCTTTAGCCAAGTCAAGCCAGATCCAAATTGTGCCCTTCTTTGCCATTCACTTTTTGATCAAACAACCGGGAAGACCACTATTATCAAGGAGGATATCCAGCTGAAAATGGTGGTGTACTTAAGAGCCATCCAGCAGCAACATGCTTCTCCAAGTGCAAGGAGGACAGTTCTGTCACCACTCCAAGAACCTGATCGGTGTCTACCATGCGTCCATGACCTCTGAATTCGAATCTGGGAACAAGAAGAAAAGATTCGATGAGCCAAGCCGTTCAGAGAAAGGGCGAGGTACTGCTCTTTCATATGTTCAGAGCAAGACTTCCATTCCTTGCAGCAAGCGTCAATCAGTACGAGCACAATGCCACCAAATCCTGCAAAGCATTCATCCAAGGCATACGCATCAAAAAGCAATGAATTTAGGATCAATCAGTTAATTCGGGATCAGAAGCAAATTATTCCGGACCATGTGAAGGCAGTTCGCGAGTTAGTGTCCGGTGCACCCTGAAGCAAACGGCGATTAGTGAGTCAGCGTACGGCGGTTAGTTAGCAAGTTACCAAGTTACCAAGTTAAGCCAGCAAGTTAGCCACTTAGCAAGTTAGTAAGTTAGCAAGTTGGCCAGAAAGTAGTTGAGCCAGTTAGTAAGTTAACAAGGTAGACAAGGGCTACTACCACTACTACTACTACTACTACTACTACTACTACTACTACTACTACTACTACTACTACTACTACTACTACTCTCTATCACTACTCGTACTACTACTGCTACTGCTGCTGCTACTACTGCCACTTACTACTGCTACTACTGCTGCTTACTGCTAGTACTACTACTGCTACTACTACTGCTGCTCCTACTGCTGCTCCTACTGCTTCTTCCACTGGTACTACCACTAACACCACTACTAGTCTTATTATGTCGAGTACTACTAGTTTACTATTTCTACTAATACTACCACCACCACTACTACAACTAATTCTACGACCAGGCCCATTACAACTGCTACTACTACATCTTCTGCTACTACTGCCCCCACTTCTACCTGTTTAGTTTTCTGTTGATCATAATTTAAACTTTTACTGATCCCTCAGCCTCATCCAGAACATGGCGAAATTCCTCAGCACCGGAGTAAAGCATAGTAAAGCTCCCAGTCAATGCTGTGATCAGAGATGCAAATTCAGGATGTGTGAAGAAGCAGCTGATTCCATCATGATTTCTCAGCTCTCCAGTTTGTCATGGAGGTGCGCATGGAGGCATTCAATTCACAGCCGGACATCCAGCATCGACGGTTCCTGAAATGTGGAACGAACACCCTTCTACCTGGCCACACACGTATTCCATAGGTCTAAAACCCATGAGATGTGTGGCGTCAAGCTTGCTTCCATAGAAGATATTTCTCACCAAGCTTTCGCGGTCCGTATTCTTGTTGTGTTTAGCAAGGATTTTGCTACCTTTTCCTTTCACGCTTATGATGGTTGGGGGTTGTTACTCGTTGGCCCCCCGGCCTTGTTCACAGCTTCCCTACAGTGTTCAAAACTGTGCTAGACACCCGGATGCCTATTTCTTTGCCTTATTCCGCCGACGCCCATTCTTGCGGTGTCCAGCAACGATTTGGCACACCTTTGTGCTTGCATTTGTTGCCTTTTGACCCCCTACAAAACAAAGATGACTCGGCACAGCTCAGCCGCCATCAGCCACCACACCCATGATGACCCGGGCGCAGCTACCAAATGACTTGCGTTGCACCTCGTACCAGCCGACGCCTGAAAGCAAATTTGCCGTGCTGCCGATGCAGCCGATATGCTGCATATTAGCAGCTTTCCCCAAGCTCGAGCTCCAATGGCCGCACGGGCGGTGATACCCCCGCCCAAGCGCTAGACGTGCACGATGCGAGGGGTCGGCGCCGCTATGAGCGACGTTGCGCGGCGAGGCTGGCTTTATGCCCTGTGCCGCCGGCCCCCTAGCTTAGCCTCAGCAGAAGCATGTAAAGAGGAAGACGAATAGAAACAACTAAAGATAGACAATGTGACTGACAATGTGGTCAAAAAGAAGCGAGATGAAGGAGCACATGTATGCATGGATTTATATTCTTCCAGCCTCAATCTTAGCACAATCCAAACACGAAGCTTGCAAAATAGGAATATTCTCAGCTATTCATACGAGATAGTTAAAGGTGGGAAATAGTAAATTATAATTCCTTTTCATGCTGTCCTTTCCGGCTCCTGATATTAGCGAAGTGACACGTAAAGATACCTACCTAAAGCTGGATCAGGTAGGTACAGCGTACGTACCTGGTGGAAAGACATGAAACCAGATGGCGTGTCTTGTTCTTTGACGCTTGAAACGTAAGCAACGACATTTGGAGTCCCGGCGCAGTCATTGCCACCAAATCGACGCCGCCAGCCAACACCTAGTTATTGAAAGCCATACTGCAAGCTAGGGATAATTTTGATCAGAGAAAAACAAAAACGTCAAAACGTCAACCACAGCAGTAAGCAAGCCAAGGCAGGCCCAAAATTATGTCGGCCGTTGAACATTTGGAGCGTTGTCGTTGGTTCGTTCCATTTCTCAGGCCCCAACAATTGCGATGCGCTTGACCTTTGCTGTTTCACGTGCAGGCTGCAGAAGCAGCGTCGCACCGGGCAGCCTGCCAGATGGCAGAGGACGGAGCAAAAGAGACAGAGGCATCGAGTGAGACTGCTTGAGGACCGAATGAACGTGGCCCCTGAGATGCCACACAGGCTGCAGCTCAGCTCGCAATTGGCCTTTTGAGGCTCACGCTAGCCTCAGAGCTTCAGGCAAGCTACCCACGAGCAGCTGCAGCAGCAACTCACGCAACTACGCCAAGAGTTTCAGGAAATGCCCCTCGGCTTTGGCATGAACATAGCTTACAGCTTTTTCGCATCTCATTCCCTGTCGTGCTTTCGCTTGCAATTTCTGTGCGCGGCACGCCCTTCAGTCGCGTGCTCTGAGTGTGCTGGTGCTGTGATGTGCTAATGGCCAGTGCGACGACACCATGTTTTTCCCTTTCAAAGACGGCGGTAGCCACGTGTTGCTGCGGCTAGTCTCTCGGCAGCGACCCTACGGCCTTAAGATTTTTCCACAGAGTTTGGCGGCCTGGCGTCGCTCATTCTCGCGGGCACGGATGACGTAGCTTGAGTCGGAGCCGAACCGAGGCCGTCAAAGGCAGAGCTCACAGGGCCATTTGCTCGATTTGCTTGCTGTGGCTCTTTCGTTGCCAGAGATTTGCAGCCAAGGCCTTTACTTCAATTCGGAGCAGCCGCGCGGCTTGCGCCGCATGTGGAATTTGAACGCGAAACATCGTTCAACCATTTGCGCAGAGGAACGGTGTGAGTGACGTGAACGATATGAACAATGCGAACGATGCGAGCGATGTGAACGATGCAGAGGCAGGCTGCCTGACAGGGCTCCAGGCCCGCTGCGTGCCTTGAGGTGTCCGAGCTGCGGCAGGAGCTGAGCGCTCAGGCTGTGCAGCTACAGGACGGCTTTGCGGATGGAACGATTGGGGAACCTGCTAGATTCAAGCTTTGCGCAACAGCGGCGAAGATTTCACCTCGAAAGGCTCAGGGTCACAGGTGATTCAATTGGTGACTCATGTAGCGCATGTTACATCAAGCCTGCCTGAACACACTTGACATAATTTCGACCGCAATGCTTCGCCATGCTTGTCGACTGTGGCGATTGGCGGCTGTCCCGGCTGTCCCGACTGCGGCCGTGCGCTTTTCCACTGGGCCTGCCCGCGAACAACTCGCTTCGTCTGGCTATCCAGATGCATGTCCGAATGTGAAGCTTTTGCGGGCGGTCAAGCCGAGTCGAGCCACCCAATGCTTCCAAGGACATGAGCCCATCTCGGCACCTTTTGGATCGGTGTTTGGAGGCAGCTGCGGGACGAGGTGTTGACTCTAGTGACTATCACCCCTGGCTGCCCGTGGATCTTTTTCAGACACTCTTGGTGGACATCCATGAGTATGCAGGCTGCTCCTGGTTCACAGCCATTGCGCCTCAGATTTGTTTTAGCGACTTTCGTGCGCTTGGAGGTGGCTGGGGTGCATGCGATGGTTGCTTGGTGTGTCTTGGTAATGCTTGCATGTTTGCCTCAAAGCCAAAGGTTTGCACATGCTTAGCGATTCGAGCTCTCCTGATGCCTGTGACCATAGCGGCCATGCGCGGTTCCAGAGAGAAGGCAATCCTGCAACCAGAGTATGAGGAGCTCATGCAGAAGCAGAAGGCGAGGCCAGCTTTGCTTGCGAGCTGCATTTTTGATGCATTTGTTGCCCGGCCTCCAGGCCCTTCGCATGGATAGCGACCCCGACAAGAGTCAAAAGATTCAGAAGAAGCTTCAGGCATTTACCCAAAAGCACGGCCGCCTTTTTATGATGCGACTTGGCACGTCTACTTGCTTTTAAGTCAGTGAGGGCTACGAGAGAGGGAGAGAGAGTTCAACGTTTTGTGATGTTCTTTTTCGCTTTCCGTTCTCAACCTTGGTTTCACTCATAGGCTTCCAGGCAAATCCACCGGAAATGCACGTGTTTGGTCTTTGGCAAGCTCCTTGCTGTTGCCTTCACTTGTACCAGGCTTGATCGCCCTTTGTGGTATCCACATCAAGCTCCTAACCTTGTGGTCATCTGTGCAGAAATGCGAGCCTTCTTTCCATGTCCACATGAATATTGTCAGGTAATGATCAGGTAATGTAATGTCTGCAAGAGCTGCCAAAGTTTCTCAAAGTGGTGCCGCTTCAGTGTTATCTTGACGTTGTCCCGTACATCGTTAACCTTGTCGATGCAGGCGCTGAAGACTTCACCATTGTGGTCCGGGGAAGTCGCTCTGTGTCCTTCAAACAGTGTGTTGCAACATGTTGCAACTGTTCCACTCTGCTTGACGTGGTAGGCACTCCGTGTACTTGATGGCATGTTGGGCACGTTGTTCAACCCAATGTATTCAGCTGCTTGTAGCTCCACATGAAGCCCAGTTCCAAAGTGTAGCGGTCATGGAGACTCATGAGGGATTTGGATGTCCAGACATTGCACCTTTGGTCGCAAGTTGTGTCTCTCTCGCGTGTACCTGCTTTTTCAAGCACGCCCATTCAGCGTAGCACACACTTGGCTCAGCGAAGCAGACACGCTGGCTAAATGGTAAGCGCACAAGCCCCAGCGCGTAAGCGCGCAGCGCTTGCTGTCAAACCGGTAGAAGAACACCCGCTCAAGCGCACGCGGTCATCACACACGACTGCCGAAAGGTAAGAGCGTGTGCCTGCCCAGCACTGCACACATGCCTATGAAGTGATAGAGTGCCCGCCCAAGCGCGCGCTCAGCGCAACACACATTGCTCAGCGCTGCGCGCCTGCTTTTCAAATGGTAAGAACGCTCGCCCGAGCGCGCCTGGTCAGGAGCCTGCCGCGCAGTAAGAACGCCAGCATCAGCGCACTTGTTCAGGACTTCGCGCGTAAAAAGCTCTCTCCTGCAAAACAGGTGCGCGGGCAGACTACAGGTTTGATTGGTAGTTGAAGCATACAGCAGCACTTTCGCTTGTCATGTTTGTAAGTTGGGTTTTAGTGGGGAGGAGAGAGAATGGAGGGAGTGGCATTGATAAGACTTGAGCCACGTGTCATTCGAGGAAAGGCACCTGGAACTTATTCCTCGTGCAAATGCCACTCTACATCACGGCCTTTGCTGCGCTGAGGGGTATGGCAAATCATCCGGACTGGGCGGAATGTGAAGTGTTCGTGCGTTCTACAACTCTGAAGCGACCTGAAGTCTTAGAAGATGGTAGAAAGGTAGCGACAGTAAGAATGTAGGACTGGTGGGGGGAGGAGCTTTGGAGACTTGAGTTTCGAGGACATGTTCCGGGGCTTTGCCATGGAGTCCCCTCTTTGGCTCGAGAGCCTTGCGCTGGCGGACCCTTACTGCATACTGCCCGTCATCACCGGCGCCATCATGCCAGGGCCCAAGGCGCTGAGGAACCGAGTAAATATGATACAATGAGTTGCAAGATGGTATAGTATAGGAATCATATGAACAAGTAATATCACTTTGAGTTTGTGTGCGTGTCGCGCCTTGCTCCGAGGATCACCAACACCGAGCTTTTTGGATCTGTTGACACTGAAGCTACACAAATTGAAGAGAAAGGGGATGGTGCTGCATTCGGTCAAAACACCATGCAGAAGTACCAGAAGCACATAATGCGCGGATCGGCGGTCCTCTTCATCCCGATGACAATGAATTTCCCTGCAGGCCGGGAATTCATGTTCCAGAACACTATTCTCTGTTCCAGTATCTTCTATTCTTCCCTTTTGTACTTTCTCTTTCAGTCTTTCCGCCTGCCGCTCTTCCCCGCTTCTCTCCTTCCTGTCTCAGGTTTTTCTCTCATTCTCGTCCTCTCTGTGTAGGCGTCTTCATTTTCATGTCGTCGAACATGGCGGCGGCGGCGGCGCAGAGCCGCGCCTTGCGGCACCCGCTGGCGGAGCGCTGGCTGGAGCTGCCGTCCCCAAAACCCGCGAAAGACGCGAAGGCGAGCTCGACGGCTGCGCGCGCGACGCCGCATCTCGACTTCCAAAAACTGAGAAGAGAATTTCTAAAGGGAACTGAGATAGGAATGAAGCTGGAGCCTCCAACTCGCTTTGCGACTCTGACAAATGCCATCACATTGGCGCACCCGAAGCCGATGGTGCCAGAAGCCACCTTGCTTCAGCCGAGAGCCAGCTACGCTGTCCGGCGCAAGTGAGTTGCGCTGAAAAAGAGAGCGGAGTCACATCGCGCAGAATTGAGGGCCATAGGTCCATGGGTTGGGGTTCTGAGTTGGGGCTTTGGGGTTGGGCTGACGGAGGAGCAGAGGGCTACTCTTCATGAGTTGCTGGACTCCTCCCAAGTCTTGGGCGAAGCTGCGCTGAAGGGAGAAGACAAGGCCATGCCTCGCTTGTCAATACCTTGGCAACGCCAAATGGGCAAGGTGAACTTCCTTCAACAGGAGCTGATCCGTATGCGCGCCTCTTTGGACCAGGAAACCGCACCGAGAGTGAACAGAGCGAACGTTGAGCTGATTCGCTGAACCTTTAATGTGTTAATTCGCGTTTCGCTGAGATATTTTGCGAACCCTGGTCTCCTCCAGCCTCGCTTTTGCGTGGAAATTGATTTTCGGGTAAGGCAGAGTCAGGAAACAGAGTCAGGAAACGGGTTGGACGAAGTCAGAAAACGGGTGGGTCCAAGTCAGGAAACAGGTTGGCTTGTCAAGAAATATGCAGATGCGGTGTTGTGAGCCAGGAAACGGCCCCGGAAACGACAGGAACAACGAGTCTGGGAGTTGGGAAAGGTTTGGAGTCAAGTGAATAAGGTTTCGTGAGTCAGGAAGCATCGGTGAGTCAGATGTAAATGGCAGGAATGCAGCGCGGCGTTGTGAAAAGGGTCAAGTGAATAGAGTCAGGAAACGACCGTCGTAAGTCAGGAAACGGGCGCCGGAAACAACAGGAACAGGGCCGTTGTTCGGCTTCGTGGTTCTCGTTTTTGTAATCGCGCGATGTGAAAAGCTGCTTTGAACTTTTGTTTTTCTGTTGGGGTTGGGGCTGCGCCCCCCCCCCCCCCCCCAACTCCCCGCTTCTTCATAGGGCCGTTGTGCGACTTTGTGATTCCGGTTTACAACCACCCACATTGTTCCACTAGTGTCTTAATTTGTTTTCTACTGAGGGGGGACCACCCCCTCCTAAACCCTAAGCCCCAAAAACCTCACCTAACCTTGAGAACCCTAAACCTAAACCCCTAAACCCGAGCCCTAAAAACTTTAAACCTAAACCTTAAAGCCCTAAGCCTAAACCCATCGCACGATGGAATATGTAAAATGCCACCCTGAGAGACACACACACACACACACATCCGCAGACACACACGCAAACCCACAAGCGCACGAACACAAAAACACGTGTACGCAAACACAGAAAAGACACAACCGCACAAACACACAAACAACCACACAAGCACACGAACAGCGAAGACCCCAAACGAATTGTTGCAATCACACACTTTGTACAAACTTGCCAAATTTTGGGAGTTCACCATGTCTTCACCATCTTTTCACAAACATGCCAAAATGTTGCAAACTCACAAACTTTGTACTAACCTGCCAGAATTTCGGGAGCATCATCTTTTAGCAATGAAGTCAAAACGTGGCAAACTTTTGCAACTCACAAAGGTTTCCGGGCTTGAAAAAAATCGCGTATTCACAAACAATAGTTCACCTTTTTTCACCAACTTGCAAAGTTTCGCAGAATCGAAAACTCTTAATCAACTTACCAAGTTTTCGGCAGGTCACCGTCGTTTCATCACCTTCTCACCAATTCACCAACCCGCCGACTTCCAGCATCTTTTCACTAACTGGCGGGTAAGCTTGGTAGCATGGAGGGGCGAATGCGACCGACACATCTTTGGTTTACAGGGCGCTTCTCTTTTTCCCCAAACAGTTTACTGTTGTTGTTCTTAAATCTTACTAAGAATTGATGCTGTCGCGAGATGGTCTGGCCTTGTCTCCCGGCTTGTTTCCTCGGTCAGCTCTTTGTCTCCCCACTTGTTTCCTTTTGTCTCCCCACATGTTTCCTCACGTGCTTGCGATGGTCTGGCTCGGTCAGCTCTTTGTCTCCCCACTTGTTTCCATTTGTCTCCCCACTTGTTTCCTCACATGCTTGCTGGGCTGGATGCTGTCACGAGATGGTCTGGCTCGGTCAGCTCTTTGTTTCTCACTTGTTTCCTCACTTCCTTTCTCGCGCGCTCCCGCCATCCGATTTCCGTGCGTTTCGCGCGCTCATGTTGCCTCGCGCGCTTGTGGGGCTGATTGCCGTCGCGAGATGGTACGCGTGGCTCGGTTTAAAAGCCTTTGCGTCCCCACTTCTTTTCAACTGTTTTCCCACTTGTTTCCTCGCGAGCTGGACGCTGTCACGAGCCCACTTCTTTCCTCACGCGCTTGCTGGGCTGACTGACACAAGACGCGCGCTCCTTCCTTTCCTGCGCACCCTGCGCACTCCGCGCCCGCCGATTCCCGCGCTCATGTTGCTTGACGCGCTTGCCGGGCTGATTGCCGTTGCGAGATGGCCTGGCTTGGTCACACGACTCGTCTCCCCACTTGTCTCCTCCCGCGCATGCTGGTCTGGCTCGGTCACGGCTCGCTTGTTTCCACTTGTCTCCCCATGTGTTTCCTCACGCGCTTGCTGAGCTGATTGCCGTCACGAGATGGTCTGGCTCGTTCAGCTCTTTGTCTTCCCCCTGTCTCCCTTCATAGGTGAGGGTCAGGGTCGGACGGCGCTCTGTTTCCTTTTGTCTCCCTTTATATGTTGGCTGACCAGGTTCAACCGGGCCCTTTGCAGGAAAGCGCCCTGCCGCAAGCAAGTTTGTGAAAATTTGGAAAAGATGGTGACCTCATCCACTTGCTATCAAGTTTGTGTGTTTGCGAAAATGTGGCAAGTTGGTGAAAAGATCGTAAAAGATAGTCAACTCCCGAAGTTTTGGCAAGTTGGCAAACAGTTTGTGAAGTTGCCGAAAATGCAAAATTTGAGAAAAGAGTGTGGTTTCCGGAAGATTTTGCAGGTTGGTAACGAGTTTGGTTTGTGATTTGCGAAAAATGCAAAGTGGGTGAAAAGAAAAAAGATTGTGGAAAGATGGTGGATTCCTGAAACTTTGGCAAGTTACACAAGATCGGTGAACTCCCGAAACTTTGGCGGCAAGTTGGTACAACAGTTTGCGACTTTGCGATGTTCTTCAAATTTGTGGAAGGATTGTGAACAGATTGAAAAACCATTGTGAACTCCCGAAATTCTGGCAGGTTAGTAAAAAGTGTGTGAGTTTACGAAAATTTTGCAAGTTGGTGAACAGATTGCGAACTGCCGGAAAATTGGTTGTGAGTTTGCGTAAACTGCCTGTGGCTTTGCGGAATATTTGCGAAGTTGGTGAGCAGGTGGTGGAAGGATTGTGATTTCCGGAACATGTGGCAAGTTAGTAAAAAAGATGGTGGGATGGTAGACAAGGTGGAAAGTTGGTGAAAAGATGGTGAGTTGGTGACATGAAGTGTTCCTGACTCTCCAAAGCAGTGTTCTGGAAGTGTTCCAGTTGTGCCTTAAAGTGTTCCACCTTGTCACCATCTATTCAACCATCTTTTCACCAACTTTGCGAATTTTCACAAATTCATAAACTTTTTGCAAACTTGCCTATTTCAGGAGTTCGCCTTTTTTTCACCATCTTTTTACCAACCCACCAACTTTTCACCAACTTGCCAAGCTTTCGCAAATTAGCAAATTTTAAACAACTTGCCAACATTTCAGGAGTTTATTTTTTCGCCATTTCACCAACTTGCAAAATTTTCGCACACTCACAGTCTTTTCAACACACTTGCCACATTTTCGACAGCTCCCACTCTTTTCACAATCTTCTCACCATCTTTTTACCAACCGACAAAATTTTCGCAAACTCACACACTGTTTTACTAATCTGCTAGAATTTTGGGAGTTCACCTATCCTTTCTATATTTTAACCGTGTTCACCAACTTGGCATTTGTTTGCCAAGCTGTCTTTTTGTGAGGAGGTCACCATCTTTTCACCAACTTACGCTTTCTAAAGAAAATTCTCCATCTTGTCATCTTTTCCTTTGTTCGCAGTCTTTTCGCCAACTTGCCAAATGTTCCAGAATTCACAATGTTTTCACATTTTTCACCAACGTTTCATCAACTTTGCACATTTTCGCAAATCCACAATCTGTTCACCAATGGCCCAATTCTCGGTAGTTCGCAATTTTCTCACCAGTTTGCCAAAATTGTCATAAAGTCACTCACTTTTTACGAACCTGCGAGAATTCGGGTTCGCAATTGTTTACCATATTTTCACAATCGTTTCACGACTTGCTGAATTGTCGCGCATTCACACACTTTTTTACGAACTTGGCAAATTCTCGGGAGTCCGCCATCTTTCCACCATTTTTTCACCAACCCACCAACCTTTCACCATCCCTTCTCCAACTTGCCAATGCCTCGCAAACTCACAAACTAGTTGCAAGTCTTTTTGGATGTCGCCCTTTTCACCATCTTTGCACCAGCTCACCATCTGTTTACATTTTTTCCACCAACCGTGCTGACGCGCGAGCGCCGAGCGCGATGGTGGTGGCGAGACGGAGCTAGAAGGCCGCGGAGGAAAAACTCGCGCGCTGCAACCTGGCGTGCGCAGGTTTTTTTAGGCACTACTTTGTGTTTAGCAAGTTGTGTTTTGACGACTAGTGATGCTGGCGACACCGATGATGCTGGTGATGTATTGAAGACTAGTGCTGGTGGAGTTGGCCGGGCTTAGGCGGTGATGCTCGTGATGGTAGTCGGGCAATGGGGGGGGTGAAAGAGCTTTTCCCACCAAGTCAGCTCCACTGCAGCGCCGTTTTGCAATTGCATGCGCGCGCTGTTCCCCCACAGAGGCATGCTCAACGTCCGTGTTGCCAATTGTGTTGCTTACGATGGTGGCTTAACAGTGGCATCGACAATGCTGCGCGTAGTTTCGCAACTTTTGTGTGGCCCATTTATGAAGGCGCTGAACAGCGAAGGAGCGTCAGCATGACTAGGTACACCGCACACGATCTACACAGCCTTGCAAACAAACCGGATTTTTTCGGCAAATTTGGATGTTGTGGGGCGGGGGCGGGGACAATTTTTGGCCTGCGCGTTTGGAATGAAATCTTGCACGGAAACATACAGCGAAATACTCTGCTCCGTGCCAACT